TAGCTGATGAGCAGGTCAATCCAACTTGAATGATTATTTCTACAAGGACGAAACCACGCCTCTGGTGTACTTGAGCATTGACATGTTAAAGTCAACAGAAACGGGAACAGGTCATACATGCAGACTAAAGTGTTGTGTTGCACAGTTCAGAAAACATATAGCCACCGCTAACATAAGTGCAAGCGAGTCGTCAAGAACTGAAGTCAACCACTCAAGGACTTTTCTGTTGGAATATGTTGGACTACAAACTGATTATTTGACAAAGAAATCCACCTTGACGCTTGTTGGCTACCATTGGTGTGAAATTAAGCATTTATTATCCTAATTACTTTTACACATTCTTGATGATATTAGACATGCATCTTATTGAAATTAAATTAAAAAAAAAAAAACATATGATTTGTTCGAATTGTTTTCTGAAATTGACAGTTTATGTTTAGTGAAGGAGGTATGGTCAATCTGCTTTAAATAGAAAAGACATTAAATAAATGAAAGACATTACATTGATGATCTACACTCATGGCAGGGCTTGAAGAAGCAAATAATAAATTATGTTTTGGTTTTCAACTACCATCATGAAAAAATGCCAAGTAGAATCTTGACAAATAGTATAAAATATCAACTCTTAATTCATCTAATGTGGAAGCTGAGACTATATATATTGAACTTTCTTCAAGTTTCCACAATGCGGAAACCATAGTATACTAATTGTATGTCAAATGATTAGGCAAGCTGAAACCATTCATATACTTCAAGTTTCATCAAGATTCCGCAATGCGGAAACCATAGTATGCTGCATGTATATCAACTGTTTACACATGCTGAAACCTTACATATTCTTCAAGTTTCATCAAGTTTCAGTCACGGAAACCATTTGGATTCGTGGACACCTTAAGTTTCCGCACTGCGGAAACTTGATGAAACTTGAAGTTTCAGTACTGAAACTTTGCGGAAACTATTAGTAAGCTTAAGTTTCCGCAGAGTTTCAGCAGTGTTTCAGCCATGTGGAAACTGTTTTTTTATCCAGTGATAAAATGATAAATAATTATCTCTAATAATTTCATTATTCATTTTAGCTTTGAGGGTTGAAGGATTATATTTCTACTTGATTGTCAGATTCTATCAAAGTTTTACTATTTGAGTTTTTTTCTTTGCAAGGAAACATGAATTACAATGAACAGCTGACCACTCTTAAATTTATTTACATCCTTAATGAAACTCTAAAGCAGGCGACACACGCGTTTCTTGGAACACTCTAGTTAAAGTTAGAAAATTATCTAGTTTTTGAATTGAATGCATTTTTTAAGTTTGAATGCAAAAATGTTCACACGTACTTAAAAGAAATATAAGATTTTCTTCCTTATTGCATATATTAAAGGAAATGAAAATGAACTATGAAGTTCCTGTTAACAAGTTTCTTATAATTGCATTGATGTAAGTGATATTTAGAATAATTAAATAGTAACCAGTCAAAAACATAAGCATTATTACTTTTAAAGTGACCTAAGAACCCGAGAGTTTGCAAACTTATTATTAATAACATTTTATTAATAACAAGTTTATTTTACAATGTATAAAATTCCGTCAACTGAACTGGAAATAAAAACTGTTCTTTTCTCACTTCAATTCTGGTCAAGATCGTTGCATATTCTGTTTAGAAATAAGGAGTCAAATGAATGTTATAAAGTCTGTCATATAAGCAGAGAAAATAATATTAACATCTTTTTTTTATTAAAAAAAAAGAAATGCACATCCTCATCAAATGTTTGTTTCATTTATGTATTTATTCATTGCAGATAGGTTTCTACAAAAGCAGAGTAAGATGCAAATTGATAACAATTTAATATATTATATATGTTATAATTTTTAATTCATTCCCTTAATAAAAAATTACATATTAAAAATTTAGTTCTTTTAGTAGCATGAAGAGACCCACGAATAATTTTCCTGTAAAAATGTTAAAATTTACACTACCGTGTATTTGTCTTCAATCACTTTTTTCATCTTAAAATCAATCCTCCATTTCTCATTCTTTTCAAATAACAAAAAAGAAAAGTCTCATGCATCAAGTGATTTTAAAGTTTTGCCTTAGTTTCCTCAATTTATTATTGTTAAAATACATTTAATTTTCATGTAGAATACTGCGAATAATTACATATATACCATCAATGAGCAAGAAAGGGGTTTTGATTATCCATATTTTGTAGATAGTTTTGTGAATTATTTCGGAAATTCAAACTATTTTCGGTAGACAAGAGCAAAACAGGCATGTAAAAAATCGGGTTTTTTTTAATTATAGGTGATATGAGCTTGTACTTCCTCTTCACGTTTCTTTTCTACATATATGAAATTCCATTTTATAAACATGTTATTCCCGCATCATAAAAAGAAAAGAAAATAACCTATGCTGTGTCTAATTGCATACTTAAAATCACAAGGAAGAAATTAATTGTGTTTATAAGTTTTTTCGATAATCTTTTTCCTTAATTGTTAAAAAAGTTACTAAATAAGATATTGCTATAACAAGGAGGATATCTAGTTAGTTTGTAGAATTCTTCTAATACGTTATACAGAGTAAATAAGCCTTGGTCTGAATTGAAGTGAGAATGGAACAGATATAATTTCAAGTATATTTACTTATATTACCGAATGTCATACGACGTAAAATAAAGGCGTTCTTTATAACACAACTAAAAAAAACCTGAGGTTTTTACACCACTTAAGAAATAAGTGTTTGTATAATTTATAACATGTTACTTAAGTATTCTTTTTAATCGATTTTTTTTTTTTTTTATAAAAGAGCTTATGGCACTGTTGATGTTTTTATTTGTAATGTTCCTCAAAAATCTTAATTAAAAAAAGAAAAAAAAGTATATTGACTATCAGATAAGATATTTAAAGCCGTCATGATAAATTTTAGTTGTTACTTTGCCATCAATATCTTTTTCTAGTAAAACATTCAAGTATGAAACAGATGTGTCAGACTCTTTTATGTCTTTGATTTCGAGTTATATATAGAGGATATTTAAAGTTTTGCAGTTAGACATGGAATTTATTTCGTGCTAAGCACGACTTAAAATATCAAAAAAATTTTGTTTTTAGAAAGAAATTCCATATGAAACTACAAAATATTGATTTTTCTGTTTATTTAATTTTCTTTGATTTTCCCTTTGCCTCTCTCTTTACATGTGCTATAGGCTGTAACTTCATACGCAGGTAGGTTAAGGCTTCCCGTAGAATATGACAGTGCACTCTGTGCCTTCACATCTCTGAACTACCAAAATATGACGTCATAATGGAAAATGACGTCAGGTCACTGCAAACTTGAGGTTTTATGACGGGGAGAGTGTCATGAACTTTACACTTAATTTCAAACTGCATGTAAAATGCTAGATAGCTATTGCAAAATTCACGGGTCGTTAAAGGTTTTTTAAGTCTTATATGTCCGAATATTTTAAAAATACACCGCTTACCTACCCTTGATTGGAATTCATCATGTTCAAAATGCTTATGAAAAATATACTTTTGAAATGTACTCTGTTTTATACCCGTGGTTGGAGGTAGAATTTATTTTGTGTGTATAAAAGAGTCTGGCGCAGGTGATTAATGAGGATTAATCTGAGAATTTTTGTGGAAATCTGTAAGAAGAGGTTGTTCTCTAACTGAATCTTGCTTGGGAAAAATGTGTGTTGGCTTTGTTTTAATACAGAATACGATATTGTGTGGAAAATACCCTCAAATTTGTAGGTAAGTTGAATTTCTCAGGAAATATTTTGTACCCGAGTAATACTATGACTTTTCCCAAGCACATTTCGGATGCACAAGGATACGATGAGTTTATTTATATAACAAAATGTTAATAATTATTGTGTTAATCAGCTGCGCCGAAGCGATTTATATGAAACACTTCAAAAAATTATAAATGACCGTCACGTGATCAACAAAGTCATGTGATATCATAACAAATATGCTAATATATAGCCGAGGAAATCCTTTATATAAATTGGAAGTACTAAAGTTCAATACTTATAAATTAAAACCAAAACCGACCTCGCAATGACATATTATGTTTTGAGCGCATTTTAAAGCTTCGGGAAGCCTTAACATAGCTGCGTAGTTGAGCTGTTGAGATGTCATATTTAGCTTAACGATTGTGAGATTGAAAACATTGTTTACATGGATTTCAAGAACATATTTGGAGAAACTTTGGCGGTTTTAGTCTCTGTCAGGATGGTTAATATACCCTCTCTATCATAACAGGCCATGGAGTATATTTTCCAAGTCTTCGTTAAGGGAAGGAAAATCGAGAGTTTTGTCCCACTATTTACATACTTCTACAATATGAAAAAAAATATCATTTTGATATTTTTTTCATTCTATGATAAAATATCACCTTTATCAAATGGGTTTTCCGTAGGCATTTCGGTTATTGAAATGGTAAAAATAGCTTGTGGCTTCCAAAAGGGCACATCATTTGTCAAGTTGGATTTTTTTTATTTTGTAGAGCAATTGTACATATATCGCATATATATATCAGACATGTTGATTTTCCTTGGATTTGGATTTTTGGTAATCTATAAGAAAATACGAGTTGCATGTTGAATTAAGTCATTTCTATGCAAAAATATGCTAACAGGGTACATTGATTTTGTTGGGATGTCACCTCCCACAGTTATCAAAATAGGAATTTCTTAAAATTTGAGTTATACCACTATTGTTCACACGAAAGCAAATCCGTTTTGCTCTCAGTGACAGCATTCCCCTTGTTTCATAAAAAATACAGTATTTTACTGCTGAAAATGTTATGGAGCAAGTTAATGTACGGAAAAAGCGTTGCCCTGTATGGGGGTTTTTGATGTCAAGTATGAATTGCCGACGCGCAGATAGTCTCTAAGTGCGTCCTTCCTTATTAAATTTTGTGTTGGTTTGCATAAACCATTTTACTATTCAGGGATATAAATTTTCATATCTTAGCATACATTTTAGTGGTATTCGGCAACTAAAGTGTAGAATATGTGTCACTTATACTTCTTGTTTTTCTGCATGTGTCGACTATTTATAGCTGCTCTCAGTTGTAAGTATGCATATTGATTATTCTTTAACATGGGTTGTTGTCCTTCCAAGTTACATTATCTCATATTGTTATGGAATGAAGTGTCATGATAAAGAACCAAAACATATTTTATATTTTCTTTATATACAGCTTAGGGCTGAAATATATCCATCTCAGTGTTTATGAATCTCACCACAGAATGTTCCGTATACCTTATCAATACATAGGGCTGTCGGCGGGTGTGACCGGTCAACAGGGGATGCTTACTCCTCCTAGGCACCTGATCCCACCTCTGGAATTTCCAGGGGTCCGTGCTTTGTGCCCTCGTCACAGAATTTTAATTGTTTATAGATCTTTTGAGATCATGTCTATTATGTTTCAATTTATTTAACTTGAAAGAAACTAATAGATACCAAGTTTTCTAGGATTTATCTCTTTGAGTCAGAATACAAACTTATATTGCAAATATTGTAAGGCATTTTTAAAAATATCGATTTTAGTATTTGTGGTGCTACAGTATTATTTTTGATTGAAATTAATCATTTTTGTAATTAAGGTTTTGATTCCGTTAAAAGTAATAGAGTTAAAAAGAAAAGAAAAAAATAAGCTGATGATTTTTTTTATTTGCATGATCTCTACAAAATAAAACTGAAGACAAAACTGTCCCTGAAATAATTAACGAGTATATTAATAAAGAATACAGTAGTGATAGTGTAAATGTAACAGTTTAAATGTAAATGGTTTGAATTTAAATTACAAATTAAATTTGAATTAGAATTTAATTCATTATGGACTAGTACTAAGAATACCAATAATGGGAAGGCGATCGGGTTGGGGTGGAGGAAAGAGGGAGCTCCTTGAGAAATATTAAATGCTCTGAAAAGTATACGGGATTTAAATAGGTTACATGATTATTTAATGTAAACTTTGTATGTCTCTTTTGTTGAACGTAAGAGAATTAATCTTAGGCAATATCCTATAAAATAGCTTTAATTATATTTCAAAACTCAACTAGTGTGAAATATAAAATTATTTAGATATCATTGAACATGGCAATCTAACTATATAGTATGAAGTGCTTCATGTTTACATGTATAACTTAAGTCACATTATTATTGAAAATATATATAATTTCAGCAGAAAATAACTTCCATATATCGGCAAAGTTCAAGAGTGGAGATCTAGTGTTGACTCCTACCGGTTCCTCAAGACTTCCAATTTATGTAATGATAAGACCTTTACAAAATAAGTGGGTGTTGTTTAGTGGAAAACAGTTCATTATAGAGGGCATTCTACAGTACAAATATCCTACCATCCGAGTCCTGGAGTACAAGGAAAACCGTACACAACTCTTTTACAACATCCAAGGTACGTTCTGGAAGCTATTGCTACAGTTATACATTGTCTGTTTTTTTTCTTCTTTTTTCCGAGCACTCATACGATAAAAACAGGCAAGTTTGCATCATTATGTACAAAAGTACATACACATAATCATATACCTGAGTGTGAGTAATCATTAAAAAAAGCAGAGATCTTCCGAAAGAAAACAGCAAGGAAATGTGTAAAAGTGCGAGTGTCAACAATTTAGTAAAAATTGTTCTTTAACGAAAAATCTAGTAAAACTGATATGTATTGGACGACAGCTGAAGTTTTTGTATGGATTATTCAGTTACATATTTAGATTTAAACAAAAAAAATCATTATGTTACGCAGAAATAAATGAATATTTTGAAATATCTGACAGTAAAGGAACATCGTTTAACTTGTCAGATAATTTGTTTACATATTGTGCTAAAAATATTTTTTTTTTTTTTTGGAGCACTTTTTGTACAAAAGATAATAAACTATTCAACTAAACGCAAGTTAGACAAAGAAAAATCTTTAAATATTTGAAAATCAGGTGAAGCTTTTTTTATATTGTAAAGGACATCCATTTTCTCATATATAAGAAGAATGTTATTTTAATTCGAAGAGAGATATGATTCATAATATGAACAATTGACGGTCTATATTGTAACGATTGATTTCTCGCTTCCACAGTACACGTAATGGAATCAAATGAAGGTGACACAAAGAATGTATCTTGGACTAATAATGCGTTTCCTCTGAGTGAAATGTATGAAATAATCCACACATACGACGGTTTACAAAGGCCAATCCTTCGTGCAAATGAGGATGATATACCAATATATGATCCTTCGAAATACGCCTACCCCAGTTCAACATTTTACTTTGGAAACATAAGTTTTCAGATTAGGAACATAACAACAGGGGATGCTGGATACTATTCCGGATGTACCGTGAAAAATGAGACCGGATGTACTGTGAAAAATGAGACCGGATGTACTGTGAAAAATAAGTCCTGGTGTGGAGGAGGCGTTGTACTTGTGGTAAAAGGTTGTCAGTTACACCCTGAAATAATGTTTGTTTGCCCTCTCCCGACTCAAGGTACTAATAAACAAATTTGGGTTGGTAGGTACATGTAGGTGGGAAGTCTTTTTCCCCAGACAATTTCAATATCAATGCTGAATTTTCAAAAAATATTAAAATAAAATTAAAATACTTGTTCACGGGATGACAATATTCCGGAATGAAAAGAAAAAAAGTCGTTTCCTGGAGGTTAAAAAGTTTTAAGTCAGGTCATATTTAACCTGTTGGTCGGGAGAGGGCAAACAAACACTTTTTTTAAAAGATGGTCTTATTTTTTTCTTAGTTAACATAGTTGAAATTTAAGATTCAATAATATTGAAATTGTACGTTTTGCAATTTTTGTTTCACGTATTTTAGCGGCAGAATGAAAGGGAAATTGACACATTAATGAAAACAAAAATTGTTATAATAAAAGAAAAAGTATCACCATAAGCAAAATCAAAAATGTATTCTCCATTTGGGGCTAAATGAATATCAAAATTTTGCCTTAATAAGTAGATTCTTTACATTTAAAACTTTGTTTTGTTTCCAGAATATCTTTTTGAAAAACTTTGTTTTATTTTAATGGAAGAAATAATTGTATCACCCGAGTAGCGAAAAATTACCAAACGCATAACGAAAATTATATATTGCATTTTCTAATGGGCTAAATCAATTTTTTGGGCTTAATAATGCTTTTTTCCACGGAGGTGATTATTGGCTATTAATTCAATGATTATACCTTTTACAATATCCGAATTTGAAGATTTATTTCAGAATACAGTGAAAACTGCTAACATGAAAGCCCATGGTTCGCAGAGATTCAGTTTCTTTTAAGGAGATTCTATATAGCCATATAGGAAAGTGTAAAGATATAAAAAGAATCGGGGAAATATATAACGTCCTTATAACCGAGATGTCCGTATATTTGATTACTTTATACGCTAGTTTTACAGTAGATTTTTCGACATTCTCACGAATGTAGCTACATCTATTCGAACAATGGGAAAAAAAAAACACATTTTTTTGGATTCCTATTTTAATTTCTAGGAAATCCAACTAAACCAGTGATAACAGGAAATCTGACTCTCAAAACAGGAGAAAACGCATCAGTGACCTGCTATAGTAATTCCACTTCAGTTCCATCCTATTATAAAGAGTTCCCTCCCTTGTCATACATATGGTACATCAACAACACATTGGTAGGAAAAACTAGGGAAAATACGTACAGATTTCCCATAGCGAAGGGCGATAAACACAGCTATGTTTCATGTCAAGCAAAGGAAACCCTCATATCTGAGAAAAGTAAACGGCTGCAAATCATACCACTCTGTAAGTTTTTTTTTTTTATTATTATTTTTATTTTTTTTTTTTTGAGAAAATATACAGAAAGCTTAGTTTTTTTGTAAGCCTATTGATGAAAAAAAAAAATCTTACAACAGAATCAAAATTTCAGAAATTATTAGATAAATTACATGTACAAGTTTTCATGTCCACTCAACCAAAATAATCGGCAAATTAGGAAGAAATGTAAACATTATATTTTAGTCCTTTTTAAATTTTCATAATCAGTGAAGGCCATATGACAATGGCTTTTTCTGAATTGATGAAACATTCAGACCCAGTTTCTGATGTATATTTAAAAGTTCACTTTACAGTATTTCAAACTAATAATATAATAAATTGTAATGCGATGAAAATACATGTACATGTATTACTTTCAGACGGTCCGGATCTAGAAGACATGAAGATTTCACCATTGATCAGTGACAACATAACTATACGTGACGGTGACATCTTTGGTCCGTATGTCTGCTCAGTGGACTGTAATCCACCATGCAGTATTCAATGGAAATACATGGAACCATCCGGAAAGTTTGTTAATGCCACAACCAAAGGACAAACATCAAAGCTATTTCCGGAACAACGAGTGCACAGAAACAAACATGGACTGTTCCAGTGTGTTGCACAAGGTTCAGATTGCAAACTGGAAACAATTACAATAAATTTAGATATTCAATGTACGTGGTTTTTGTGATTTGTTGAATAGGTAGATATCTAATTTTGGTTAATCAGTCTGGTGTACTGTCTGTCATTGAGATAGCTATTCATACTAGAAACACCATCTGCAATACCAATTCTGTTGTACGATTTGAAGAATGTGGATCTTCTCAATATTACTAAAATTTATCATGCATTTTGATTTGTAATTCAAGATATGTATAAAGAATTCAGCTTACAAATCCAATTCATCAATTTAAATCGTAAAGAATTGAAGATTTTGGCCTTTTTATTGTCTTTCTGAATAACTTTGGAGCAAAATTGGCAAAAGTATCCGTTAATAAATGGATTATTTTTTTTTATATACATATACGTTTTATTTTCTCAATGTTTTCAGATTTGTCTACACCGAAGGTATTTATAAATGGATTAGCTGCTTCAAATGTGTCAAACATACCGGAAAATGAACCCCTGCAATTGTCATGTCTTGTGGAGGGAAATCCCGTCCCAGCCGTGACCATCAGCAGGGACAGAGCAAACAACGTCCTCGTGAACAGTGTTGGTTACTGGTCAAATTATACATCTATTGAAAAAGCCCAGTGTGCCGATACAGACACCTACAGGTGTGAAGGGACGTCAAAAGAAATCCAAAGCAAATCTACAACATTTACTATCAATATTGTTTGTAAGTATTGTTGTACATATAATATTTAAGAGAGAGAGAGAGAGAGAGTAAGAGGTATGGATTCATGCATTACTAGTACCTTTTTCTTTTTCAGGTAAACCTCGGTTTGACAAACGTTTAGAGTTCAAATCAACATACCAAGTAGAACATCTACCTACAGTAATAACTGTCGATGTTCCTGTTATCTCCTATCCTAAACCGATTTCTGTCAAATGGCTCGGGTCGGTTCCTACGGAGGCTTTCTTTACCACGATATCTAGAGGAAATGATTTTTTTCATCATTGGCTATACAGCACAATCCCTATTTATAATGGCAGCTTTCTTGGAAACTATACTCTCTATGGCGATGACATCGAATTAGCAAGCATTAGGATAATAGGTTTTCGTTTTATTTATTTACTGTATACAGGGTTATTTGCACTCTTTTACGTCAACAAACTGTTTTGTTCCGTTTTAAATTCGCCCATTCACATGTCTGTTTAAGAAATCCTACTGACTTCTTTGAAATCGCCACATCTTAAATTCGCCAACTTGTGACTCATGTGAAAGAGGCGAAAATGAAACGGAGGTGAAAATTTCCCTGTATATAGATTTTTTTTCATTTTTTTATGAACTTTTCAACAATTATAACATTAAAACAAATATATACCATGTGCAATGAGGGATAAATGGAATATAAAGTGTCTATCTTTACGACGGAAAAATACATATAATTTTTAATAGGATGTACTTTTAAAGATTAACAAGCATTCTGAGAGTATTGCATTAGGAATATTAGTCCCCTACCGGCAAATGTAATCTGGTTCCCGTTAAAAATTGAAAATGCCATAATTCCGTCAAAAATGAATGAAGTTGAACGAAATGCAAAGTTCATCTATAACTCATCAAGGTAAAGTTACATAGCAAAAATCAGCTCAATATCTGCAAGCGTTGATGAAAAAATTGCGGGAAACCCTGAAAAATTGAAAAGGTCGTAATTCCGTAAAAAATCATTGAAGTGGAACAAAATGCAAACTTGATCTGTAACTCATCAAGATACACTCACATACTAAAATTCAGCTCAATATCTGCAAGCGTTTAGAAAAAAAAGTGCGGAAAATCAAGTTGGACAGACTGAGAGACAGACGTACAGGGGAACAGACAGACACAAGGACGGACAGATTCAGAGGAAACCTATAGTCCCCTCCGGTTTCACCGGTAGGGGACTAAAAAGATACAATTCTAAATGTTCACTTTTATTGAATGTTTATGAAATTTTAAAAATTCGAAAAAAAAAATATGAAGATGATTGATTGATTTCTATATGGACGTATTACATTTTGATTTTTTAAAAACATTACAGAAGTAAAATCAAGCTCTCCAGAGTCTGTATTGATACCACAGGAGGTGTGGATTTCTTTAATTGGTACCTTCGCTTTCTTATCCACATTGATGACCGTAGTTATTATCATACAGAAATGTAAGTATAGTATAATAGAATTAAGGCCAAAATAAAATTATCGTTTGTTTGGAATTGCCTCTCGCCTCATTGAAATGACTACTCCTGGAAAATTTTTTTTGACGAAAAACAAGATTTTTTTATTCAATCAATTGTTGGCCTGTTACCACCTGTGCCACCCAATCACTTCATAAGTGTAGGATCTAAGCATAACTGGGTTCGTGGTTGATCGGAGATACCCTTTACAAAAAGGCAGAAAATAATGTACGTGTTCATTCCTTTTCGAGATTTTTATCATCAATTTTTAATTTAACTTAAATTTTGAAAAAAAAATCATTTCACTCCCTCCCCCCTGGGTCTAAAACCTCCCAGGCGGCAATTCCAAACAAACGATTTTTTAAGAATAGCCTAAGAGGAATTATAGATACAAGAATTATAATTTTATTTCGTACTGATAGCCTTGATCAATAAATCATCATTATATTCAATGGGTCGTTTTGAAATTTTTAATTAGCCCCATTCAGAAGACAAACTACCCAGCCACAAGTAAGTCCAGAGACGGTTAACACAGAGAATCAAGCTACTTATGATGTAACAACAGAACCACGTGAAAGACAAGAAATTAATGGTGAATACGAAACTTTGCCTATTGGAGAAAAGGGGAAAACCAGAATGACCAACTTTGGCCAGTTCATGATGGACTGTAGTGATGACAACAAAGATCAAGGAAATCCCTATGAAAACCTCCAGTCGACAAGGAAATCCCTATGAAAATCTCCAGCTGACAAGGATCTCCCTATGAAAATCCAAAGTCAACAGCGTTGAGAAAAAATATTACATTTTCACAAAATAATAAATTCAGAAAAATGCCGCTTATTTTTTTTAAAACGAAAGGAAATTTATTACAATTTAAAGATGAACAATTCTTGGAGGAAATATGTAGAATCTTGGAGATTTATCTGATGATTTATCATTACGCATTTGATAATCTTTTAATTATCTGATCAAAGCAATTTAGTCGAACCTATGCTATACTGATTACTTTTATAAGGTAGCAACTGCAGTTTGTTTGTAAATCTCTTAACAATTTCATGCTTACCTGGACATAGTTTTCTATTTCACTTAACTCAACTGAGTCGAAGGCTCAAGTGGGCTTTTCTGATCAATGTCTTTTGTTTTTTTTTTTTATCAAAGTTTTGCATGTCCATTATTTTGACTACTCCGGAATCGCTGAGCCAATTTCAACTGCACTTGGAACATAGAAATATGAAGTATGTAGGATTAAAATTCTGTAAATTAAGGGCAATACAACTGACGAGAACAGAAAATGTAAGGAAATAGAATAAGTAATAATTGGTTGAAATAGTTTTGAATTACCCAATAAAATCATTTTATATGTTTTTATCAATAAGAATTAACAGTCATTTATTTATAAAGGACAAGATATGGTAACGGGCGAATCTGGCCCCGTATTTGATGTAAAAATCAGAACACGGTTTAAACCACGATAGTTAGTAATTAGCAACTTAAAATAATGCTTGTTTTAAAAACAGCCCTAATTTTGATGCAAGGCTTATACCGGGGCCACAAGAGGATGTAGAAGAGGGACATTTTTCCGAATTTCCTCAATTCTGGTGGAATTTCGTCAAATTTGAGATACTTTTCACTTCAGGAAACATAGAGCACACGCTTGCCTATCTGAGATTTTTATGCACAGGAAGCGTCTGATACTAGTGCATGAAATATATAAATTTCGTAGATAGGCAAACTTGTGCTCTATGTTTTCTGAAACAAAATGTGCTGTAAAATTGATGAAAAATTGCATAAAATTGAGAAAAATTGGAAATTGACATATTTTCTAACCTTTCTGTGACCTTTGTGTATCCCATAACTAAGAACCAAAACTAATTTTGTTGCAGGGGTGATCACAGGTTTTTATTGATAAACTGTTGCATCATTCTAAAAGACACCCAAAACCAGGAGCTAAAAAGGGGTCTTAACCTATCTTGTCCTTTAGAAAGTCTTCCTGATTAGAAATTGATACTGTTAATGTTCCCCTAAACTATAAAAATTCTTCGCAGGACAACGTGAGACACCATATCAAACTTTCACATTAACGTAAATAAATCATTTAAGGGTTTTTATCACGTCTCAAAATTTTTTGATATGACAATGTTCACATGTTATTTAAATATTATATTTAAAATTCATTGCTAGAAAATAAATATTTTTAATGTTTCAGCGATTCAAAGTTCGAATTTCTCACTATGCATATTTTGATAGCCGATGTTACGTGTCAATGCTCTGAAGTCATAGGTGTCAATCCTGTTCAAGCGAAGTACTTATTGTGTATACAAAAGTGTTTATTTGTTGCGTCTATTAAACCTGTTAGAAAATAATTAAGTGATAATTGGATAATTGACAACTAGTAAGGTATAATTTGTGGCTTTAGGATGCACAAATGTGCACAAGAAATATTTTAGGAAGATTTTTCCCCCACATATCCTAGATTTGGTCGGGAGATGAAAGGGGGCCTTTTTCTGCAAAAGCAACGGTATTTATCTCCATTCAGAACAATTGTTTATGCCAGATCACGAACTTTCTGTGCTATAAAATATTTTATACATATCTTTTAGGGGAAAATATTTTCAATATACATTTTTTAAAAGTCGCACACAATCTAGTAGGAATGTTGTGAACTTTGTAACTGCTAATGGCGTACGCCGCCATTAAACAGTTGAAGAAGTGTCACTTCTAGTATATGATATTCACTGCTGGAACAGATAGAAGATATTCAGGGTTTATTTATATATAAATAATTGAAATAATGAAGAAGGAGAATTTAAAATTCCCATATTTATAAATATTTTCGAAATTAAACTTTAGTAATTCGTTCTATTCAGTAGAAGTCCTGAGTTGTCAACTGCTTCGTCTTCGGTGCCATTTCCTATTGTCGGCATATTTTCTGGTTATATCTCTCTGCTAGATGTTCATACATAAAATATTGACCGTCCACAACCAAAGGAATATGGCCGATGTCAAAATTTCATTTTTAGAGACTTAACTTTGGAAAACACAAATAAAACCATTATTATTATTTTGTGAGAACATTTATAGTGTACATTTTACAATAAAATTTATACCCGTATGATTTACTCTCATCAAATGTTTCAAATATTAATACAAAGTATAAGTGGATATTTTGTATATTATCCAAAAAAGTAGATATCAAAAATCCTTAAAATATTGATTGAATTTTGATTGAATTTTTCTAAATTTCATCATATTAGAAGCATTGATTAAATATTGGAATCTAAATGAAACAGTAAACAGAACAATGATTTTAGAGATATTTTTATCAAGATCGGAGAACTGATGTAAAAATGCAGGGAGTTATTCTCATATAAAGGATATGACAGCAAAACTAACAAGAAGAAGAACAAGATTATAACAATACATAACAAACAACAAAACTTTATGATAAACGTGATGACTTCAACTTTTCTATAATCAGCTTCCCTTATTTATGTAGCAATATACCATTATCACCTGCGTATGGAGTTTATGTCTCCCAGTTGATTCGATCGATATGCAAGAGCATGCTGTACGTACGAACAATTTCTAAAATGAGGCAAGCTATTCAAAGATAAGTTGATGAAACAAAAATATCAACATTCTCCTTTGAAGTCAACATTTCGAAAATTGTATGATGGCTACAATGACTTGTCAGAAAATACAATCTATCATTAAGTCGAATGTTGACTGACTCTATTTATACAAATTGCAAGTCCCTTATTTTCACACTGAATTATCTACGGATTTTTTCCGTTTGCCCGATCATGACAAGGAGCACTCGGTGAGTGTGACCAGTCGACAGGGATGTTTACTTCTCTATGGCACCTGATCCTAACTCTGATGACTTTAGATGTGCGTGTTTGCTCTACTCCCGATTTGTATTTTTTCAATGGACATCTATTCGTTATCTTCATATTTCTTGAAGATTCATATTTTTCTTTCCCAACTATAGCTATTCTTTGCAGAATTACCTCATACACCATATCAAACTTTACATATTTAATCATAGTAAGGTGAAAATATCTTTAAAAATGTTCCTGATTTGGAAAAAAATCATGTGTGATTCATTAGAAAAGTGAACTTTACAATATGATAACTGCTGTTTACTTACAAATCAACTTTCTCTCCAAAGACTGTTGTTTTACTTCATATAGTAAATGGCTGTGTCTTTTTTTTTTTTTTTTTTTTTTTTTTTTTTGCCAGCTATACTGGATGTGTTGTTTATAATTTTTTTCCCTTTTAGCATAGACATCTGAAATGAATATGAGCGCATATGCCTTTATCTATAGAGAATAATTAAAAACGGATTTTAGACCATCATATTTTTCTTATGCTCTCTACAGTTTAACTATTTTTTTTCTCTATTGACGTAACTGAAATGTCAGTGAATTAATGATTGGTCTTCGCTTTGTGCAAGATTTCATGATTTTTTACCCTAACAACTTTTCCGTATCTGTCTATACAAAATATTATTGCTCATGCACATAGGAGACACTCAAAATGAGTCTCCAAAAATAATTACTCTTTTGCAAAATACTGAGAAAAATCCAGCAAATAAAAATAAAACATTCTCGTATAGAAAAGGTATTTTACAAGTCATCGAGAAATTGATTTAATATCTTATTATTTCTTCTTGGAGGAAAGATTGTTCAAACATTGGAATCCAACTGAGCAGTAAAAAAATTAGTCCTATAGATATTTTTGTTAAGAACTATGAACTTTGAAATCCCTATTATTTTTTCAATTATAATAATTCCATAAAGAATGCCTTCGTACATTATTTTTAAACTTTACATTTAAGTTTACTGTTACCTAAAACCTTTTTTAAAGTTGGTCATGGTCTGAAAAAAAAAATTACACGTGTAATAAATCCAAACACAAATGAAACTTTACAGTCGGAACTCAAATATGTTCATATGATATAATGCATGCCGAGGCTCGAGAAAAAAACATTTCCCTAGTTCTGCGATTTGAACACCTAGTTTTCAGAAATATAATGAGATATGAAAATAACGAACAGAATCCAATCTCGAAAGTCCAATGAAACGATACAAATTTGAAGCAGAGCAAACAAGGAACTCAAAATTTAGAAGTGGGATCAGGTACCATGGAGGAGTGCGCATCATCTGCCGACCGGTCACACCTGCCGTTTATTCCTTTTCATGATCGGCTAATAACGGAGAAATCCGGAGACGGTTCCGTGCATAAATAATGGCCTAAAAATAAGTATGAAAACGTCAATCAGCATTTGACTCATTGATAGCTTGTATGTGCTGACAAGGCCATTGTATCGACCGTAAAACTTGCGAAAAGCTGACTGCATACGAGGCTGTTGATATCCTTATTCCATCAATTTGTTTGTCAATAGCTTGCCTCGTTTTAAAAATTGTTAATACGTAGAAAATGCTCTTGCGTATCGAATTAACTGAGAGACATAAACCCCATATGCAGGTGATAGGGGTATATTGCTACATAAGTAAGGGAAGTTGACGATAGAAAAGTTGAAGTCATCACGTTTATCATAAAGCTTTGTTGTAAGGTTACCATTAAAGTCTTTTTCTAGTGAAATATTTGAATATGAAACAGATGTGTCAGAATATGTGGTATCTTTTATTTCAAGCTCACTGGAATTTATTGAGTCGACATACGAATTAAAGTAATTATTGTTAATTGATAATACGTCATCGATGTATCGAAATGTCGAGTCGAAGGCCACAACATTTGTTTTCTTTTTCTCATGTGGAAGGTGTGTAATAAATTCTGCTTCATATGAATACAAAAATAGGTCTGCAAATAAGGGGGCGCAATTGGT